ATGAAACACCTTGAATGGGCCTAAGTTGGGTTTCTGGGGCGCTTAAGCTTGCTTCATCGCGCTTAAGCCCCCTAGAACGGTGATTGCAGAATTCGCGTTGCGCGCTTAAGCGCGCTGTAGGGCGCTTAAGTGCGATCTTCCAGTCAGAATTTTCTTCTTCCAGCGCGCTTAAGCCCTGAGTTAGGGGCTTAAGCGCCCATAGGCCGAGACTTTTTGCGTATTTTGGAGGCTTAAGCTTCCTTATTGGGGCTTAAGCTTCCATTGGCAGAGGCTATTTGCTTGTTTTGGAGGCTTAAGCTTCATGATGGAGGCTTAAGCTTCCTCTCTAACAACTTGATAAGATCTTAAATCTATCTTGTTTTTGATCTTCCTCTATCATCTCTTGATCTCATATCTTCTAGTTGTGATCTCTATCTATCAAATCTTCATCTTTTGACTCCTTTTGTCAACAAATCCCTAAAAAATAGCAAGGATGATTCAATTAAACAAAAATTCAGATAATGTTCATGATTATCCTATTAAAACCCTAGTTTTTGACTTGTTTAATTAGATAATTCATATTATTTTAGTCCATAAAACAAGATAAACTAAAGGTTTATCAAGTTTACTACAGAAAAAGCGAATCCATATACTTTTATGTTATGACATTATTTAATAATGTGTGAGTTGTGTTATAAAATTCACCATTATTTCTGGTTAACAGTGTCGTAAATCAAATATCCCGTGTGTTTAGATTATTTAGGTTAAAATATAGAATGGTCTTATGTGTTACATCCTCTCTTATATGGGAGTCTTTCAAACTTGAAGTGTGAATAATAAATATATTTATATTGAATTTTAGTTATTATTTAGAAGAACAGGGATATAAAGATCAAACTCTTAAGCAAATAATGGTGATCATAATGGTTCTAATACCACATCATGAATCAACTGTCCCAAATATTAGGTGAAAACATATAAATAAATATATATCTAACAAATTGTAATCATACTTCAATTACCAAATTTAATATACGCTAGAATAAAAATAAGAGAGATACGAATCTCGCTCTACATTTATAAGTATTCATTGGTATCTTAGTGATAATTACACACTTAAAATAAACTATGATTCGATGAGATTCGAAAGTGATTAAATTGAATAATTATTGCTCACTGATAATAGGTAATATCAAGTCACTATAAACTATTGAAATGATTGCAACGAGTTAAGAAATTTTCATATTCTATGACAAGCACAGGAATGGTCTGTCGAATACAATACCCAGTTTCCTCATCTGCATATTAATTATTGCTTAATTTCCCATGTTGCTTTTGACTTAAAGAAAGCGATTACTCGGTAGAGAATACCTCTTTGCAAAATTAGAAAGCCACTTCCTTGAGGATTAATTACTAGAAAATTGTGTGATTGTCAATATAATAAACATAAAGAATACTTAGCATGATCCTTTGCCTCCACCAAGTGGTGCCTTCGTTTTGAGAAAAGGGGTAGGGCTACCACCTACATAGTATCTTATGCAGCTGTTGCAAATTCAATGGTGTTAATTATTTTTGGAGAACAAAGTGCTTGTACATTGGACTTCATTCTACTACTACTGGATTTTAGTGATGCAATCTATCTTTTCAGCTTGAGTGGCAGTGTAGCTATAGTTTTCTCCGTTATAATATGATTGATCATGATAAAAAAAAAAGTATATATGGAAGATTAATTACTAATGATTTATCATAGTTTATATGATTGATTGAGACCTGTGAACTAACCTACCCCGTTCTTTACCTTTTTCTCATCCAATATATGTTTGAGAGTAGTGCTTCTTTCTCATGATACCCAAAGACTAATAATTATGAGTGTCTGATGTGATTTATGGCCAAGTATATCTAGCCCAATTTGGTAAGATGAGGAGGAGTGGATGTATCCAAAAAGAGAACTATAATCGAATTGGATAGTGGTTTTGTAATAATATTTTAACACATGCTAGCTATATATATAAATAATAAATGCAGAAATATTATAGTATTGTACTTTCACTAAAATTATATACTATTTTGTACTCGGCAAGTGGATTGTAAAAAGTGTTCTAACTTGTTCTTCAAAAAATCGAGGACTAAATTTTAACATTTTGTTACTGGATGCAACGTATTCTAGTGGTGCACTTGTGGCCATATATTGCTTTCAAATTTGGTATATGCCTTTTTGGCGTTGAGTGTGAGTGGAAATAATTAATGGTTATTAATTAAATCTTATAAAACTAATATCTATAATTAATTAGTCACTCAATTAATGAGGCTTCAATTTTTAATAGACTCAACAAATTAGATCTTCTAGATCTATATATATTAGTATAGTAGTATTTAGTACACATGAAAGGGTATGATTGCAAAGTTCTATATATAGGTAGGGGGAAAAGAGTTTCTTTATAGTAAATAAATACACCATTTAAAGAATATTAATTAATACTTGGGAAATGCTAACAACTATTTTGGACTATCAAATATTCTCTTAAAATATGATAATTGTCAAGATTTTTAGAGTCTATTATTAAAGGCTTTAATGTTTCTACAGTGCATGTAGATAAGTTTTATCTACATTCGCTCTCAAAACGATGTCGTTTTGGGTTAAAAAATTATTATAACTCTGAAATAAATTATAAATTACAAAAATATATTGATTTTCGCCTCAAAATGACGTCGTTTTGGGCTCAATATAAATAAGTTATCTACATTAACCGTAAAAAAAGAATTCATTATTAAAACTATAAAACATTTTAAAAATGATTTTTATCAGTTTAAAAGTACTTGAAAGTATATGTACAAAAAAAGTATTTCAAGTATATTTTGTAATATTCACCAAAATAATTAGGCATCGTAATAGTATTCAAGAAGATTCCTTCGTATGATAATGCCAAATGAGTCTCAGTTAGACGACCGAATGAATGTGTCCTCTCCCAGAGAAATTAAAAGACTAGACAATCCTCAACTTGCCTTCCGTGCAAATTGTATTATTATAGTTCATGATCTGGACTGAAATCCTTAACTGGTTGGCCTAGGTATGATAATAATATTAAAATCACTAGCTAAGTAAGTAGGACAAGAGCTAGGTGGGTGAGATAACTATACAAAACTTGTTTGATATGCAACTTAATTATGTTACCCTATTGAACAAGAATATCCTCATCCCTTTTTCTTTTTTCTTTTTGTTGAATATCAGATAGTAATTATGGCTAAGGGTATCCATTTCAAAAGCCATCTGCATGGTGCTTTTCAAACATGATGTGATATGTCTAATGGTTTGTAACCCGTGTTCTTTCTTGTTCCTAGCTACCCTTCTGCTTATGGATTAAATTTTAAATGATAATTAAATTATGAAGAGTAGTTACATTGTTACAACTAGATAAATGGCTAATTGGTCTGACAATTCTGTCTATTGCAAATCTAATTAGTAAAACAAAGGGTAATTATAACCCTTCTATCTTGTAAAGAAAGTTGGTCCACTACTCTATCAAATGTTTGAATAAAGAGAACCCACACAATGGTTTGTTGCCATCGAGAAAGCAAGATTATCTATGTGTTGACTTTGAACAGCATATTGAGGAATAAATATTGACTATTACTGTTAAAATTTAGTGTGTTTCATTGCTATAAATAATCTAATAGATTATATTAGAACAAGTAAATAAAATTAAAGTAAAAAAGATTTTAATTTTAATTTGACTCAGTTTGACAAGAGTTGGCTCGCAAATTTAAAATATTATAATCATTATAATTTTTTAATTTATCTAAATTTTGTTTTAAAATAAATATTTGTATATCCTAAGTAATAATTGTTTATAAATTCTGTAATATAATTATGATATAAATTAATTAAGTAAATAATTTAAAATCAATATTTTTAAACTCTAATTATATAAATAAATAAAAATACGAACAAAAGTTTGCTAATATGAAGTTGTAGATGTGCTGGAATGTCTATTGTTCACAAAAGAAAATACAGTTTTCTTAGATTTGGCTGGAACTATTATGAATTTGACACATTCAAATCTGAGTAGGGTGAAAGCCTGAAATTTTATTAGTAGACTTAGACGTATATTCCATCTAAAGAAGTTTTCGATGAACACAACTTTCAAAGTCTTTCTTTCCTATGATATTTCTTTTTCCTCTTTTTAAGTCATAGATAGACACCTACCTAGATTGAATATATGGAGGGAAAGTTCTGACCATCTGTCTTTAGTCTTTACACATCAATTCAATCATGTGTTGAACAAGAATATACAAGTCATATATATGGAACTAATTTAAAAATACTACTAATTAATTATATATATATATATATATATATATATATAATGGTAAAATTATTTCTGCAGTCGCTTTATGTACAGCAACGACAGGTATATGGTTATAATTTTCTATATTTAATGCTTTCATCCTTTGTATAGTTATCATTCTCTGCATTTAATATTTTCAAGTATATATATGGCGAGTATTTGATTGCTGCACGTACAATAGCAGTAGAAATGTAAATATATATATATATATATATATATATATATATATATATATATAAATAAAAGCATCGTATTTATGTAAAAATTAACCCATTAACTATATGAAGCACAAAAACAAAATATAGCTTCAGGGTTCCATGAATGCCACATGCCAGTATATTATATCCATCAGATACCCTGAATAGTCCCGGAGGACATAAATGCTCAAAATAATATAAGGTACCTGTATCTTCATGATTTCTTTTCTTCTTTTTTTCTCATACAAAAGATAAAAAAGAAAAAAGAAAAAAAAGAAAAGAAATATTTGCAAAAATATCCAACAAAATAAATTATGTCCATCCAATCAACTTGTGTTGGTGTGCGTCCATTTTCACTAACCCCACATCTTACTCCATCATCATATATACCACCAAACAAATCCATTTTTTCTGCTCTAGCTTTTTGTCTCTCTCTCTCTCTCTTTCTCTCTCCCTCAGACACACACATACACAGTTTAGTTTTGTGGTGTTGAGGGTGTCGGCTGAGAAAATCTTTGTTGAATTAGTGAAAATGGGAAGGAAGTGCTCACATTGTGGAACCATAGGACATAACTCTAGGACCTGCACATCTTTCAGAGGAACTAGTTTCGTTGGACTTCGCCTCTTCGGAGTGCAACTAGACATATCCTCATCTAATTGTGTTACCATCAAGAAAAGCTTTAGCATGGACTCCATACCCTCATCTTCCTCTCCATCTTCCTCATTTTCTTCATCAAGATTAACCATTGATGACAGAACCTCTATTGGGTATCTCTCAGATGGTCTCATCGCTCGAGCCCAAGAGAGAAAGAAAGGTATATTCACAACGAGAGTTTTATCCACATACTTTTTCTCTCTTGTATCATCCCTCTATTATTATATACATATGTTTAATTATCTTTGTAAGAATCTATACAAGTACATATTATTAAATCCACCATATTTAAAATCAATATTGTTTTTAGCTATTATATATGAATTTGTTATTTGAAATTATTAGTAAATCTTTCCTGTCTGTTAGGAAAAGATTTGATTATAATTATTAAAGTACTTTCTTCATTCTTATCTTCAATTTCATTTTATATACCTTTAACTAATAATCTAACATTGTTATGTGATATATTTTTTTTGCAAACTCAGGAGTTCCATGGACAGAAGAGGAGCACCGAATATTCCTTATTGGACTTGAGAAGCTGGGAAAAGGTGATTGGAGGGGTATCTCTAGAAACTTTGTGACAACAAGAACCCCAACACAAGTAGCCAGCCATGCTCAGAAATACTTTCTGAGACTGGCAACAATGAATAAGAAGAAGCGACGTTCAAGTCTCTTTGATTTGGTATATATATAGAATATGAACTATAAAAGTTGCATAATTAGCACTGATTGATGATGCTTCAATTTTCTTTATACTGAAAAGTAAAATTTTCTTTCTCCCTTGTCAGGTTGGTAGCAGCAACATCAACACAAAAGGTCATCATCCTATTACAAATTCTAATTGCAAGCCAGGAGATTCAGTTGAGAAAGATGCCACTTTGTCATTGTTAGGGCGCATAGCCTGCTTTCAACAAGAAACCAAATCAAATAAGAAAGAAGATTCTGATAGTTACTATGAAGTTGAACCAGCTGCAGAACATGAAGGTGTGGCTATGTGGATACATCCCCAGATGAAATCTTCAAATGTGGTAGCAGCGCCTGATCTGGAGCTAAGTCTTGCAGCCCCTAAGGCTAAAACCATGGAACAAAATAATTCATCCACTGGTTCATTCCTGCTTGGACCAATTAGCGTTACTTAAACTTTTAACATTTTATTATATAATGTCTTATTTGGAATGTACCCTTTTATCTGTTGTCTAGTGTCAACTCATGCAAAAGATCATCCCATCAAAGAAACACATTTTTCTTGGGCATTAATTAGTCCCTAATCTATGCAATAATCAGATCCCTTGATCATTGCTTCATCGTGTTTGGTCAGAGTGATCGGATCCTAAAAATAAGTAATTAAATTGGTTCGTATTAGTTTGAATAATTAGTTTTCTTTACATTAAACCTGATCCAAATCAATTACTGTTGGTTCGGTTTCCGAGGTAATTAATGATTTTCTTAATCTGAAATTGAATCACTCCCCACCTGATCAACTTTTTTTTTATTAAAAAAATTATCTAGTGTCTTTGGTAAAGTTTATTGTCTAATTTTGTCATCATATTTTAGATAAAGACACTAATGTAAGATGTAATTAAAAGTATAAGATAGAAAGAATTGAATGTTAATGAAATCGAATATCAAGCAGTATTGTTTGTTCAATGTAATTATTTATCAATTATGAACAACTTTTATGTTTTTAACTAGCAAGTCATCTATATGGGTACCTGCCTGCGGAATATTACGTTTTTACCACAGTGCAAGCTTTTTTTTTAGTAGATTACTGCATGCTCTTTGCTCCTTATACTATAATGCTTTGCTATGTCAAGTGTCAACACTTCGTGATTAATAAAGTTTTAAATATTCCACCATTCTTCTAGAGAGAAAAAAAATAAACAAAGTTTTATATGTGAGTTTCATTTTGATGAATTGTTTATGTAAAAAAAATTACATTATATCTATCTAATTATTGTTATATCATTTAATGAATTTATCATTAAATGTGGTTGTTAAAATCATTAATAAAGTGGTAATTATGAATAAGTTGTTAACTTGTTTATATCGTTTAATTTAATTAATGACAATCTAACATGCCGAATTGTTCCGAGTGTCTTGACAGTCTTTAATTTAAGGTTTTTTTTTCTCATTTCACATGAGATAACATCTCTCATGCTATAGACACAATAAGTGATAGGTCCTATCACTTGTTAAAAAAATAAAAAATAAAAAGTAGGTCCTACCACTTGTTAAAAAGATAAAAAGAAGATAGCACGAATTTAGATGCCTCATAACATGAGAAAACAATCTCCAACAACATGAGAAAATGATTTCAAAAGCTAGCTCATCTCAAAAGCTAGCCCATGAGATAGAAGAGCCCAAAGTTCATATATATTTTACACCAGAACCTTATGTTTCTAATGTGGGACTTCAAGTACTACATCTTTGAGTAGGATCGTATCAATATTCTAACACCTATCTTGGAGTAGGGTCGTAACATTCCACCACGCTCTGCAGCCCCGCCCATGCAAGATGAATTTGCGCTAGTCGTTTACTAGACCTGGGCAAACATTGCATTGTCAGCGTCACCACCTGCACCGCTCAATTGCAATTGATAAGATATGAGATGGGCTAGCCCATGAGATATGAGAACTCAAAGTCCATATAAATCCCACACCAGAATCTTATATTTCTTATGTAAAACTACAAGTCTCATACCTTAGAGTAGGATCATAGCATATACCAAAAAAAATATTCTAACTATTTTGGAATTTTGAACTCGTACGTACCCATAGACTAAAAAGTTTGGTGAAGCATTTTTTAATTGTTTTCTTCTACTACTTTATTTGTATGACTTATCTATATGACTATATATTTGCATTGGGTCCATTTCTTGCCTCCTCTCACTATTCATTCAAGATGGTGGGGAAGATGTGCAGAAATAGACTGGAGCTTTAAGAAGAAATCATATGAACATAGACATATTTTTGTCGTGACATTAAAATCGATGGCTTTTGAATAGTAATTATGCTGTCAAAAGAAAAGAAAAACACAGAGAGAAAATGAAATTCTAAATAGGACAAATTTTGAATCTGCTTATTTTTGGAAGAAATAATTACCTTGGCTGGAATCCTGGCTTCCATTGCAATCGCTTCAAAGTTTGAGTAAGTCCTCAAGTCTAATAATTACAGTACTTGCTTTCTCCATTAATTAATGAACATGAACATTCAAAAAGTGTAAAAATAATTATATATATCAGCTTGTTCAAGGTGTATATATATATATATATATATTGATACATTGGTCGGATTTGGTTAATTGGTAATTACTTAAATTATTTAGATAATTAGACAATTCTCTTATTAGTATGCCAGTCACTTGAATAAATTTCACTCATATAGGGAAAGAAACATAATTAAAGCTAAGGAGGAGAGATTTTTCCTAATATTTCAACTAAACAAAAATCAAAAGCACTATCCTAATTATCAAAATAAATAGTATTTCCACGTGAAGCAAAATTGTAAAGGGCAAGGCTTTAAGTCGATTTAGTCAAATTTACTTTTTTGTTTATTGATTCTTAATTTTTTAAAATAGGGTTTTCTCTGAATTGACTTCACAGAAGTCGTGTATTATATAAAGATTGTGGGATCGCGATCGTCTAAATCTTTTGGTTAATTTTACTTACAAACAATTAATATACATACCGCTGACTTTTCATATTGAATATTTTCAACAAGATGTTTTCTTGTTTTTTGAAGCTTAGGAAAGAGCAAAGAACTTGGTGAAATATTTGAAGACAAACAATCCGATTTTTTGTTTTACTTTTAGTATTTCGTTTCTACTTCAATCACACGGCAGGCAAGAAGAGATCTTGGACTTGTTAACAACCAAGCCCCCACTTTAATTAATTTTAGGGAAAGTATTTCTTCAGATAAAGTTATCTCCAATGAGCTCAAAATGACGTTGTTTATTTGTTTTGGGTTAAAAAATTAAAAAATTATATTGATAAATGTTAATATAATCCTGCAATATATTATAATTACAAAAATACCTTGATTTCCATCCAAAATGACGTCGTTTTGGACTCATTGAAGATAACTTATCTTTCCATTGACTGAAGAAATCCTTTGACTAATTAACTAAACTGAAACCTTAAACTAAAGGCCATTATAATAACTAACTATGAAGTATTCTTCATGACATATTATACGTTTGTGTGACTAGAAACTGAAGCATATCTTGGCATTTTGATTATAAATAATAAGATAAGATAGGAGGAAAATGAAGCTTGACCACAAGATTCTGTACATAATATGCCAATCAGACCCGGCTGGGACTTTCTGTCTGGAAAGTTTTTTTTTTTTTTTGTGGGACTCTCTATATTCAAAAATATTTTAATCTGCTGTTTTTTTTTTAATACCCAAAATTTGAATTCAAAATCTTCCTTAAAAAGAGAAGCAAATTCCTTACAACTCCAACCATTATTGAACTCAGTTTCCAGGAAAGTTCCAATCACTTGCCTCGTGTATTTAATTTGTTTTGAACCCGGCCATTATATATGAGGACTGATGAGAGTTGAGAAAATAGTAGACTTCAATATTGTGTGTGTTTCTCAATGTGTGTGCGAATGTTTTTCTCAATGTGTGTGTTTTTCCTGGAATTTGTCAGATTGATACATTTGCCCGTACTACAGGAAATATTATTGGAGTTATCCTCTCTCATATTAAAATTTCATATAATTTGATAATATATAATTTTTGTATCTATTTCTCTCTTTCAATACATTAAATAGGTGTGACTCTTTCACCAAAAAAAAATAGATGGAATCCAATTATCATTAATAAAAAAAGAGATACATGATCAGATCATGTGAAATTTTAACAGGAGATAATTGATTCTCATTTTTTTTTGACATAGTTTGGTACACTTATTTATTTAAAAAAGAAAAATTAAAGGTTGTATACAAAAGTATTTTCATTTTATTTTATTCCTTGAAAACTATTATAAAATAATATACAAATATCAGTATTTCTGAAGTTATATATATAAACATATATATATATATATATATATGTTTATATATATATATAAAATTAATACTTCCTTTGAAGATTTATGAGAATTCAACCGAAGTTTCCGCATGGTATTATTACATATATTATATGTGATTAACGTTTTTCATGTTGAAGAAAATAAATTTATTTTCTACACACGCATAAAATTGTGGAGCTCATGAGGGTCCACGTGAGAAGAAGAAAAAGAAAAAGAAAATATAGGTTCCACATACTTTTATGTGAATGTAGGAGATAAAATTTGTCTCCTACAACATGAGAAACATTATATATAGGGTTCATTTTTTCTGCAGTAAATGCAGATAAATTATCTGCATTGAGCCCAAAATATAAATATAATTTATCTCCTACCTACTTTTTGTAATTATAATTTATTTCAAAGTTATAACAGTCATTATTATTATAATTTTTTAATCTTTCAACTCGAAATAACATCATTTTGGAAGTAAATGGAGATAATTTATCTGCATTTACTATAAAAACATTAAAGCCTTGTATATATATATATATATATATATATATATATATATATATATATATATATATATATGGGTTTAGTGAGTGTACAGTGACTGGATGTAAAATTCGGTCCAGTGCACTAAGTTCTCTCGCGAGAACACAGTTATATTAAATATTATAACTATGTTCTCCCAGGAGAACACCTGGAGAACACCTTTATAATATTTAGTGCACTAAGTTCTCGCGGGAGAACTTAGTGCACTAGATGGTCCAGTGACTGAATTTTCATTTTTTCCTATATATATATATATATATATATATATATATATATATATATGAGAAAATACTTTCTCGTGTTGTTGGAGAAAGTATTTCTTTTGTCACTCATACATCAACATGTGTGCTTTGTTTTTTTATTTTATTTTATTTTTTTAATAGTGGGACCCACCTTAAATATGGGTGAGTAGGAAAAAAATTTCTCTCATGTGGAAGGAGAAAAACAAAACTCTATATATATATGGATAAATGGTTTGTCATGTGATGGATATAAAGTTTTGTCTTATCACATATTTTTTAACTATGTACTACGGGTAATACATAGCTTTAATATTATTTTTTGTTTTGCAGTTTATTCTTTAATATTATAATTATGTACTACTCGTAGTACATAGTTAAGAAATATATAACTGGACAAATCCTTGTATCCAGTCACTATTAGGGGTGTAAATGGGT